TTTGATTGCTTGTACCCGAGTTTGGGTAAATAAAGGCAAGATGAGCCAGATGCTAGGGGCTCCTCTGCCGACTAAGAGGCGAGAGCCCACTGGCTGCCCACATGTTAAACTGACTCTGTGTTTCTGTCATTCATCCTCGTTCACCCCTAGATCAGGGAGAACAAGGTGCCGGGTCTAGGTCCCTGACAGGTGGTGCCTGGGGCAGGAAGGATCTGAGACCTACAGTGAAGATCGGCCACAGGTGGGTCAGCTACCATTATATACTGTACAGTTCCATTTATATCAAATGTCCAGATAGGCAAATCCAAAGAGACAGAACATAGCTTAAGAGTTGCCCAGAGATGGGGAGTGCGGGGCTGGAGGAAAGAAGGGGAATAGGAGGTGACTTCTAACAGGCCCAAGGTTTCTTTCTGAGGAGATAAAAATGTTCTAAAATTACTTAAGTTCATAGGCACACAACTCTTAAAACCCATTCACTGATCGTGGCTTTAAACAGGTAAACTTTATGTACATTACATGTCAACAAAGTTGTTGGGGGAAAAAGTTAACAGAAAAAAAAGGATAAAGGAAAGGCATTTTTATAAAAGAAGACAATAAAATTTGCTTCCAGAAAACTCCCACTAAAACAAGAATTAGAGGAAGCAGGTAAGGATATGGAGCAGAAGCTTGGAGATACAGACAGGAATGGGAGTGGTGTAAACGCAGGTGGGTCAAAAATCCACCCGAAGAGGAGGTGGACTGGGTCCCAGCCAGGGACCCTGGCCCAAGGGCAGAAACACAGGCCTTCACCCGCTCTCCATTCCCCATAGCACTGAACTCTCTCCTTCCAGCCCCAGGTCTTTGCACACCCTCTTCCCTCTGCCCAAACACAATATTGCTTGCTTTCAGGTTCCATTGTGGTCTTATTCCTACTTATCCTTCTGGTTTCAGCTCAATTCCTCTTCCCCAGGAAGGCCAACTGCTCCTTCAGGATGAGTTGGAATCTCCTTCCCACTAGAGACTGCAAGAGCCCTGCACCTTTCATTCACAAAAGGCATCCGATAATTGCATGTGTATTGTGTGATCTTTGATCTTGGTCCCCTTTACAACATACCTTCTTACATTTCCTATACATTTCATCATTTTTTCCTTTTCTTCAGAAAGAGATGAAAATAAATTATGACTTAACTATTGTTCTCCAGTGAGTCACACCATGATCTGCCTGTTCCTTTTTTTAGCAAAATAAGTTTCACATTATTGAGGCAAATGGAATGTGTAATGCTCACAAAGTTCCTGTGAGAAATTGCTGTTCAAAAACAGTGCCAGCTTGCTGCTTAATGATATTATTATCCTAAAGAGCAGAGAGGCCTGATGGCTGTAACCACCCTGCAGAGGTGGGGCATCGAGTTCAGATGGTACCACAATCCATCATCTCTCCCTGAAGGTGCCAGATGACCACCTGCTCCTTGAAGCAGATGCCTGAGCAAAGTTTCTCTGTCCATTGCCAGGAAGGACACGGGTAGATCTATTTGGCATACTGGAGAAAGAAGGCAGAGAAATCTCCTAAGCAAGGGGCTGAATGCAAAGAATACACAAATGCTAAGTGAAAGAGCTGTAAGTTTAACAAGGAGAGAGTAAAAGAACTTATTGGCTGGACAGTGTTGAAGTTTTCTAGTATTCTGTAACTAGGGTTTATCTTTAAAAATAAAAATAAGGGTTGGGCTAGAGAAGTGTGCTGTGCCCTTTCTTGCCAAGTATATGGAACTGAAAACTAATTCTGTGAGGATAGGGCAGAGGTACCAGGATAGATTGCCACTTGGCAGCTGCTCAAATAATGTGAAATGAATGAATGAATGAACTGCAGGAACAGCCGCTAAATAAAGGAGCACTTCCTGTTAAAAGCAAGATGGCACCAAGTACCCATGCACAATTTCCAAGGCTGCCTAACACTCCAAATTCTCAAGGATGGACTACTTTGAGATCTGACTTTGCTAGACTGTCACATTTCTTTTGCCTGAGTTCGTCTTGCCTACTGTCCTGTTTTAGTTGTCACCTTCTCTACAGTCACACAGAGGTGATGTTCATAGGTTTTGTGGACTCCTTGGTTGGGAGTAAAGGAGAACAAGTGCATAGGAGGTCCCTGCTTGGGGCCCTGATCCTTACTTCTGACTCCCCATTGGCCACAGGCAGGACAGCGACATGCAGACATCTAGAGAGGATGAGACGGCAAGAGACAGCTCACTGCACTGTTTCTTTGCAAAGAAAACCACAGCTTCATCCCAAGGAGCTCAGCCATCCACAAGATAAACACCATAATGTACAAGCATATAATTAGGATCTTACATAAGATAAACTACTATTTTTTGAAAATCACTTACATAAGTTGATTTAGTGGTATTCAGAGTCCTTATAAATGGGCAAATTAAGTTACTTAGTGGAGGAATGCATATGGCGCTCCAAACACAGCAGATACCCACATACACACACACGTGAACCTGTGTTCACCTGGTCAGCCTGGTCTTACACAATCCCACCTGCATGAACTTCATGCCTCAGACAGCAATGCATGGCAGCTTCCACAAGAGCACCTTGTTGTCACTCATCAGGAGATGAGTGTTTTAATATGAGATGTGACAAACATCAGTTTAGACATTTTCAGGTAATTAGAATTTATTAGAGACTTTAAGGAAACCATTATTTCAAAAATAGCTTGGATCTTCCAATGCTGAACCAACACTGCCATCCCTTAATAAAACCACTTTCTACATGCTGCCAGATCTGACTTCTAATAGTTTGTTTCGTTAAACAAATTTTTATCTAGGTTCATACTTTTTTCTTCTATTATCTTTATCCAGTTTTAGTATTAGCATAATGTTGATTTCCTAAAATGAGGGGAGAAGTGTTCCTTCTTTTTTCTGCTTTAAATATTAGATATAATTCATCAGTTAAAATGTATATGAGCCTGCTGTTGTCATATAGGTAGGTTTTCAAGCTAGGAATATACTTTAATAGGTGCTATTCAAATTTTATATTTCCTCCAGAGTCAGTTTCATTAATTTGTCTTCCAAGGTACTTCATAGAAGTTGTCAAATTTATTTCAAAAAATATTTTTGTAATATGCTTTCTATATCCTTTTAAATTCTGTAAAATCTGCGGTAATGCCCTCTAAATTTTGATACTGTAATTAAAAATGTATAATTGATATTGTGTAATAGGAAGAAAAGGTCTAAAGGAGTAGGGTAAGTGGAGGGGGAGAGGAAAGGAAAGAAGGGAAAAGAAAAAACATGAGAAAAGGAAAAAAATGGAAACAAAGTCTTTGCAAATAGGGAAGGGTGGAAGGGGTGAAGGGAGGGTGGAGAAGAGGAAAATAAGAACCAAGATACATCATGTGAAGGTACAAGATCCCAATGATGAATGTAACTGTATTGTATACCTAAAATATACCAATAAACTTAATGGAAAAGAATAGCTAAGTGTCGGAGCTTCAAACTTCACAACCTTATTTTAGAAATTCTATTTGCATAATTCCAGGGGAAATATAATATAAATTCATTTAAATGCTGGGGAGGCTCTTACAAAGAAGATACCACTTAACTTTGAAACTTTCAAGCTTCCAGAGAAAGCTGTGCCTAGTGCTGACTACTCAACACACAGGCAATGAAGGGGACCCTGGAGTCCAGGGCACAAAGGACAATTTGACAAGGGCTGGGTTACTTTTAACTGTGTGAGTTTCCTGAAGAGATAACACGCCCTTGTTTCTATGCATATACAACACAAATCATTTACCTAGAATGTTATGTATGTGACTGGTATTTCTGCAGTGTGGCAGATGCAGAGCTGAGGTTTGTTTTTGTTTTTAGTAGGAAGACATGCTCCAAAGCCTAGGAACGGAAGACATATCACCACCAGTCTATCCTGGCCCATGCAACACAGGCAGAAGCAGACACAGAATTTGAATAATTATCAGTCAAAAATTTTTTTATGAAACCAGGTGCAGTGGTGCATGTCTGTAATCTCAGCACTCTAGAAGGCTGAGGAGTCCCTCCTGGGGGACTTGGCAAGATCCTGTTTCAAAACAAACATTTTTTAAAAAGGATTTGGAGATGTACCTCAGTGGTAGTGAGCCCCTGGATTCAATATCCAGTACCACACACAAAAAAGAGTAATGACAATAATGACTTACAGGCACAGGATTTTACCTAATACAAGGCCTTGTGTTCACAAGGAATCCATGAGATGCTGTGTCACTACCCATGCAACTGAAGAAGAAAGTGAGGCTTGGGACCTGCCCCAAGTCCTCAAGCATCCCTTCCCACCAAGAGTTAGGTGTGTCCTTCCAGAGATGCACTATCAATTTACCAAGACCATGGAGGGAGGCTGCCACACTAAGACTTTTCCACCTGAGACACAAGACCCACGACATGTTTATTTATGCTGACCAAATGAATTTAAACCAAGCCACAGCACCATGGTGTACAGAATTAAAATGCACTGAGAGCCAACAGCTTCCAGGGAAAAGGTCACCAACGGCAGGGTGAGGTGGCTGTGTGAGGGAGCGCTGGCCTCTGCTGGGCAAGAGTTCAGGCGGGTTGTCTCCTAGGCCGTGTCTGTCTGCTGGGAGCGAGCCCTTTGGTCCTGGACCTTGGGTAATAATCCTGGTGTCCTTTTACCCCAACCTCCCTCTACTCCAAGTGTATCAACTCTGTGGTGCAGATCCCAGGTATATAGGAGATAGTAAGAGTAAAATGCTGTTTACCAAGTCCTCCACTCCTCCCTCCTCCCATTCTTTTCCTCCCCCTCACCATGTAAATGCCTTAAAGAAAACAAAGACAATCATTATTTTGCTCCAGAATTCACATAATTCAAGGAGAAAAAATAAAGTCTGTAAGGAAGGAGGTCCTAAACCGATAGAACATTAGCCCCAGCCCCAAGGGCTGGTGGCAACCCGTGTCCTGGCAGAGACGGCAAGGTTTCCCCTCCCCTGCATCTCCCCTCCACCACCTCCTTGCTCTTGGGCCCACCTGGGGTCAGGCCTGATGCACTGGGAAAAGGCAGCCATCCTCCTGAAAGCGGTGTGGGCCTCAGGCTCTCTCATCGTCCTGGAAGCTAGCAGCAGGGAGAAGAGTGGCCTAAGGCTCTCAGGACACCACTGGTTGCTGGGCACGAGCCTGGGCCCCAGTCTCCCTCAGGAGCTCCAGTGGGCCTGGCAGTATCCATGGGCCACAAGGAAGTGGGGCTTCTGCCAACCCCGGGCACCTGGGGCCCTGCAAGCTCCCTGGGCCGGTGTGTAGGCTCAGGGCTGTCTGAAGAACACACACACTTCCTTCTTCCACTCCAAGCCCCAAGGGCCAGGGCGGGAGTGGCCTGACTCCTCGGGGAGTTGGTCTGGAGTCCTCGTCACCTGCCTCCCTGTGACTGGAGTCGCTGCTGAATGGCTGAGGCAAAAAACAAACTTGCACTGTTTTCTCATGCTCACCATGGAGGCAGGCAAAGGGCGAGGTCAGGATGAGGCTGCATTCCCTGTGCAAGCAAGGGCAGATCCAGGAAGGACAGATTGGACAGTGAGGGACCCCGAAACAGGTTCTAAGCTAAATGCACTCAAGCCCAGGGCCACCCTCTCTCATCCCTCCTGTGCCCTTGATACCTACTTGTTCTCTGCAGAGGGAGGGACCCCGGTGTAGGAGTGGGGGACCTGCCAGTCTGCCCTGCACACCTGCTTTCTAGCTTTGGCTTTCTTTTTATTTTCTCTTTGTGCCCTATCATGCCATCTTAGGCTCTAGATATGTCTCCCAAGTTGCTTTCCTGGGGCCATCCAAATGCTGCTTTTAGCCAGGCACCTGCTTACCCCACTCCCTGTGGCCCTGCTAGGGTTTCCAGCCCTCCCGGCTGAAGACTGAACCTGGCAGGTGCACAGGCCACGCCCACCCAAGAGAAATCACCAACTGAGCCTGCCTGGCTGGGTTCCCCAGCCTGTCCACAAAGCCAGGAGCCTGGTGACCTCCTGATTACCTGTAGCTGCCACTTCAAAATAATAGACTCCTGCAACCAGCAGCTCCACCTGAGTCAAGTTCATCCCAAGGCTGACAGTTCTACCATCAGCAGTTTCCAGGCAACGTCTGGAATGTTGACAGAGGCTCCAGGCAACCAGTGGGTGTGACTCTGTTATTAAAGCCCAGGAGCAGGCAGGCAGCATGGAGATTTCTGAAAATGGTTCTAAAAAAGTTCTAGCTAGCTTGTGTTTCCAAAATGCAATTGTATACGGAGTTCTAGTCAAATGGTTTACAATTTAAGGACAAAAGCATAACAAATATATTTAATGGCAATAAAAGTAAGCACTGAGTTCAGAGACTGGCAGTCACTTAGAGCTCTGAGGAAGCCCGTACACATTCACCTTTTAGAACTTGCAGGTCCACTGGGCTGGCAGGAAGTCCCCTTTCTCCTAGGAGGTGGTTTCAGGAGCCTACAGGACAACACAGCAGAGTGGAATATTGAAGGGCCACGAGCAAGCAAAACCCTGCAGATCCAGAAGGCAATTCTGTCCTGCTCACAGCAGTCAGGCTGACGTTGGAGGCCACCTCTGCCACATGCCATGGCCCTCTCTGGAGTGTGACTGCCCAACACAGAGCAGCCCAATGCCCCAACAAGACAGCACTCCAGAGGGACACAAACATCACAGGAGATGCAATGTCACATCTGTTCTTCCACTGCTGAATGCCCAGAGACCAAAGGCCACCTCTGCCACCTTCCAGCACATTCTCCATGGCACAGTTTGCACATTTTACACTTGCCCAGTTCTACCAAGTATTCAGAATTTCCTTTCTTTGTCCTTCTTTGCAGGGCCCATCCTGTATATATCCCAGGAAATCCGGGAGCCAAATTAAACAGTCAGTAACACCCAAGTGCATATATTAAAGTGCAACTTGTAAAGTGGAACAGAAAAATCTTTTATGCAAAAAAAGTCTAAGGGCTTTATGATAGGACTTCTGTCCCAGTCCATTTTCTGTTGCTATGACTGAATGCTGCAGAATGGGTAACTTATAAAAAAATATAGGTTCACTCAGCTCATGGTTCTCCTGGGAGGTCCAAGGTTGAGGGGCCACATATGGTGGGGGCTTCTTGTTGAAGGGACTCACTGCAGAGTCCTGAGGCAGTGAAAGGCACCAAATGGCAAAAAAGAAACAAGATGCAGAGTAAAACTGGCTTTTATCACATATCTACTCAACATAATCCATTAAGCCATGAATCCATGAATAGATGAATCCATTCATGACAGCAGAATCCTCATGACCCCATCACCTCCGAACAGCCTCACCTGGTTTCACCTCTGATACCTAACAATGGGGGCTAAATTTCAACATGAGTTTTGATGGGACCATTCAAATTCTAGCGTCATTGTTAACTTGACTTGAGTGAGAACTGCCTAGCAGATTAGCAAAACTCTGGGCTGTCTGTGGATGATGGACATGGAAGCTGTCAGCTGAGGAGGGAAGACTCATCCTGGATGTGGGTGGCACCAACCAGCAGGCTGGTAGCCTGGAAGAAATAAAAAGGCTCTAGGACAGAAGAGTGCCTATTTTGGAAAGCTCTAGTCTTACCATCACCTTTGGACCTTGATCTCCAGTTTCTTCAGCCTTCCAATGCAGACTTGAGTTGTTGACTCTCCAGGAAGCTTCCAGGCCTTTGACCTTGGACTGGGACTGCATTCCTGGCTTTGCTTGTTCTGTGGCTTCTGTCTTCTTGAACTGAGCCATTCCTGGATCTTCTAGCTCTGAAGTGCACAGATGGCCACTAGGGACTCTCCCACCTCCAATCCTGTAAGCTACCTACTAAATCCCTCTGCGTAATTATACATGTTTTTTATTGATTCCATTCCTCTAGAGAACCCTAACTAGTACACTTAGTAACCTCCTTAGGCCTCTAGATTCATTTTATTCAGAGGGATTGGAACAAATGAGCCAGGTCCTGGAGGTTTCTATTCATGCTCATCTAACACTTACAACTACCACAGAGTCAAATGGTGCACCTGTTTTGCACATGAGGAAACAGAGGATCTGTGAGGGTAAGCAACTGGCCCAAGATCACCAAAACTGTAAGTGAAAATCTGATCCTCAAATCAAAACTTGTATCTCACCCAAATGTGAGTCCTTCACTGATGGCAGCAGAAACCCAGGCCAAGGGTTTGAGGGACAGGTCAAGTTCCATCCTCTCTAGGCTGGCAGCCTGGCAGTGTGTATCAAAAGCCTTCAAAATCTTCATTCTGCTCCTCTAGCTGTTCCTTTTTCTGGGAATCTGGCTTAAGGAGATAATCTAGTCCTGCCATTTAACTTCATCCTGGAAACATTCTAAAGGACATCAACAGGAGTCTGGTTATGGCACTGGGACACAGAAGGGGATGCTATGCAGGCCTAAAAATCATATCATAGGAAAATATTTACCAACATGAGAGAACACATTGCAAAGGGGAAGGAGGTCTCAACAGTGCTTCTGAAAGGATCACGCATCCCATTACCCAAAGCTTGCTCGACAGTAATGCTACTTCAGCAAGTCTGGCCAGGGCCTAAGATCCTGCATTCCTAACATACTCCCGGGGGACAATGACCTGCTGCCCTTGACCTCCCTTTGAAGAGCGTCACTCTACAAAATGATGGGTGCAGAAAGAGCCCATTCATTTTGAAAGCCTCTCAGTGCATAGAAGGAACAAAGGATCAGAAAAGTTGAGAACTGAAATTATTTCTGGGTTGTGGAATTATGTAGATATTAAACTTCCTGGTCGTGATATGCTTTTCTATGCTATATATATATCTTTTATATCTATATATTATTTTATATCTATATATTTTATAAATCTATATCTATATAGCTATATATAGATATAGATACATCTTTTGGATTGAATGTGTATTTTGTTCACAATTAGAAGCAGCTCAATAGTTTCTCCTAAAGACCAGGCAGTATGATGTAAACAGACTGGGTTTGTGGGCTAGGGGTTTGGAGTCCAGTTATTTTCCCTCTTTAGGCTTGGCTTCATAATTTGGAAACTGGAAGGAGGTTGAGAGGCTCCCACAGTAGACCCCATGTGTGAGCTTCTCCCCCGGGATCTTGGTGTCAGTCTCTGCCCCTCCTCAGCCGGAATCAGGAGCTTGGGTCCATGAGTGCTTTTGCAGTGGCTTCCTCGTTTGTCTCCATCTCCTCTCAAAGATGAGAACTTTGGCCAACTGTGAGGCATGTGTGCATGGGTTTGGTTTCACCTAGAACCTCTCTTCCTAGAAGATGGCTTCCCCTGTGGGCCTTACTATCTGGAATGCCTGTCTCACACACCCTACACACAGGAATCACCAAAGCTGTGCTCTGACCACAGACAGGAATAGAGGCTGTTCATGAAAGAGGCTGGGGGACTCCTGATATCATGCTTCACCTAGCCCACCTGTGCCTCGAAGGGTGTTCTATTGCATGCAAAATTTTGGACATGCAGGCTGTTTACCTCCAGAAGAGACAGGTCCACTGTTCTTAAGTTCTTTTCAGCTACACATCAGTGAAGCCCAACAATTATGGCCCCAAAGTCCAAATGAGAAGTGGCATCACTTGTTTACAATGCTCAGACATGAGTTGGCGGGCTTCAAACCCAGCCCCCAACTGAGTGCTCCAAGGTTAAGTTTTACAAGTGGTGCCTGCCATGTTCCATTATTTTCTTGCTTAATGTCCCAAAGTAATGTTATAAAGAACCCAAGGGCCATCGTGAATTACACTGATATCTAACCAAATTCTAAAAACAGAAGTAGCAGCCACAGGATACACTGCCTCATCAATGGGGCTTCAGGTGTATATCAGAATGAAAACCTCATTGTCTAGGCTTATGAAACCCAAGCAGAGAATCCATCAGATACAAACCTTCACTCATTTCTGTTTTTTTGTTTGTTTGTTTGGTACCGGGGATTGAACTCAGGACCTTGCACTTTCGAGGCAGGCAGAGGAACCGAGCTAAATCCCAGCCCCCTTCACTCATTTCTAATAAAGTTTTTTCTGGGTGAACTTTCTTCTGTATGGCTAAGAAAAAAAAAATCTTCTCAAATAGTTGATTTCATTTAAGCCATGTGGTAAGATCCTCTGACAAAGTGCCCTATGTGATTCAGATGCGGGGGACTGGTTAGGTTTGACATAAATATCCTCCTCTTTTGTAATTCCCAGACATCACATCTAGAGCCTGAGGCCACGGAGCAATATGGAAACACATCCGGCTTGTTATGTGGAGACACTTAATATTCCAAATTATCCCAGCAAGATCTTAAAAAAGGAGCAAACCCCTTATTTTCTTATATATTTCCACAGGGGTGGGCATAATATTTA